CTCACACCCACCAAGACAATTCGACGTGATCGTAAATAGGGTTAAGACAAGACGGCGAGTTCTACGGTTCAGCTGTCTCGTACAAAACAACATGGTAGAATGTAAAATAAATTTTATTAAATAAAATTTATACAATAATGATTTTTCCGTATGATTTTTAAAGTCTAAATAAACATAGTTATTGTATTATTGTAGGCTTAAGCCCCCTCAAAACTACGGCTTTAAANTAGGCTTAAGCCCCCTCAAAACTACGGCTTTAAACAAAATGAAGCAATTGAAATACTAAATACTTTGTTCCGTGAAGGAGATTGGAGGCTATTAAATCATATAAGAATAATAATTGGTAATGAAATTATAACTACTAATCAAATTATTCGAGACAATGTAGACGATTTTAATTTTAATAAAAAAAGACAATACTTTACACAGCTGATAAAGTGCAGATATACTGAAGTATTAAAAAACTATAATACACATATAACTGCTGTAATTCAAACATGCAGAAATGAAAAGACTGGTGGTAATTTAAAAGCCTTTGTAGATTGTACTATTAAATTTTTTGAAATAGTTAATGATTCAAAAGACTTGTTAAAAATTATGTTGCTAGCTTTAAATAAATTAGAAGATTCAAATATTTGGGAAGTGTTTTATACTCCATATTCATGTTTAACGCAAACCTATAATATATTACGTAAGTTTTCCTCCGAAATTGAACGTCTTAATTTTAGGAAAACTGATTTTATTAATCTATCTATCAATGAACTAGAAATGAAAGTATCTAAATTCTTATTTGATTTTCAAAATGCTCGAATAAATTTTACTCGAAGACTTATGGACGAACGTAATACTGTTCATAATTGTTGCTTGATTGAAGGTGAACTTTTAAATAAAAATCAATTAATAGATTCATGGAAGATTATTGTTTCGTTAAATAATAATAAAAACACACTTGAACGTCCAGTACGTTTGTATGAATACGCTTTGGAACGCTTTATCGCGTTTTTTAATGCTGCTATTACAAGTGAATACGACAGTTTAGGTTTCAATAAAATAACTATTAGCAATTAACAAAAATTTTGTAATTTTCTTTTATTTTATAAAAATTAACTTTATTAAACTTTTAATCGCTTTTTTTTAATATTATTATTACAAAATACCTGTAGTAATATTTAATTTATATTTGTAATAATTATCAGGACTACGACTTTTGGATAAATAAATTGTTAATGAATCGTATGAAATTTTATCAGCATTTGTTTATTCTTAATATTGTTTTCGTTGATATTATGTATTTAATTATATTAACTACATTTTGATAAGTGATTATAGTTACACTGGTTTTTTGTTACTTTAAAACAAATATTTATGCATTTCTCATAAAATGTAGAGAATATATTCCCTCATAAATCTATAATTTATTAAATAAATTTTTCCCTGAAATTGATTAGCTTAATTCAACAAAAAAAGTTATTTTCGTGTAAAAGGAATTATCGTTTTTCGTGTTTGTATAATTTTTTTAATTAATAATGTCTATATCATAGATAAAAAACCCAGCACAGGGGGGTCGCGGCACAGTGGTGACGTGGCATAGTTGGATCAAGTATAATGATATCTGACAGTGATTAAAATCACTATCAAAAAAAAACGCTTCGATGCAAATCTTTAGATAGTGTTTAATTTTAAAAAATTGGTGGATTATTCCAAAAGCTTCATAAACTGCTAGTTCCTTATTAATATCCTGATTAAGACAAAGTATGTCGAATGAAAAAGGGATTATTAAAAAATAGTATTTCCCATAAAAAAATTATATTGATCAATACACTTTTCAATAAGTTATAGCATTATAATGTTAAAAATGTAAAAAATAAAATTGAGAATTTTCAGACAATCNCACAAGTATAGTTAGTGATAAACTCTATAAGTAGTAATTATATCCTGATGTGCAAAAATAAAATACGTATTGTAAATATATATTATACCAAATAATTAACTTTATTATTATCACTGTTTATTGCACACAATCGTTGGGATATAGATTTACCTATAGTTCTGTTAAAATTTTAATAAGAGATTTATAATGAAAATTAAATTTAAAACTAAAATATAACTTAAGTGATGACGGTAATCAGGAATAGACATCGCACTAAACCGTATAATAACATAAAATAAAATAAGAACTCAAGTGAAGTTAATCAATGCACAACTTTTTCTTTCAAAAAAAAAAAAATTGCATATGAAAATAATTCATATGACTTATCATAGTAAAATGTGACTGACATAGGAGAAATTTTGGGGGAAAAATAAAAAAAATACTGCAAAGGGAACATACCCTATGAGAGAATAATAATTAATATTTAAATATGTATATATCTTAAATAAATATCATAATCTAATTCTTAACAATTTGAAACTTCAATGATGTCTTCGGTGTGGACACACAACGGGTGACTTCCATTAATAATTAATTACAATTATTGTAATGATGATTAAATCCGGCGGCGTAACGTATAACCATGTGACTCGAAAAAAAACTCGCTGACAGCTACGAAGCCACTCGAACCACCACCACAAAAAATAATACATACAAATACACAAAGAGGACCGTACGGGTACAAACTTTTATCTAAAAACAAAGGCGAGGCAAATAACATATCCTATGGACTAAAATCGTGCACTTATGTCATGAGCTGGTAATGAATATTTAATAAGGCAATATATATTTATAATATAACGGCGTGAAAATGAAAATTCAATAAAATAAATAAAATTAGTACAATTATTGTAACTACGGTAAGGCAATAAAACATTTCTCCAGGGCGCGTAACTAATGTCTTGGCATCATATTAATACCCCCCAAATCATAAGTCAAATAACGTATTGCAGTAACTTATTTTACGTTAAATGAAAAGGTTTATTGTGAGAAAAAGTATGTAAAGACATTTGTATCTTATCCTGTCACAGGATCGCAAATCTTTGTTTTTTGTCGGCCTGCAACATCAACATGGTTTGTTACTTACATAACGACTTGCTGTAGTAGCAAGGGTTACCATCTAGGTGAGATGTCATACCTATCAAATATGATTACCGGACGATAGGTAGAATTTAATTTTAAGTTAATTAATAGTCTAATTTAAGTTAATATGTCGTTATATGTATAAATGATTATGACACGTCGTGGTTTATTAACCACAACTATGATAATTGGAAGTTGTACGTGGTTGATATGTAAAACATACCGAAGCCCGTGTCTAGATTAAGGAACAGGGATAAAATACACGCGAGTACTTAAGCGCAATGAAATAAATATTACAGTTAAAATTAATAAGGAAATTTAATTTAATTGTTAAAAAAGAAAATTAAGTTAAACATGAACAAAAATACAAATGTATTAAAAATCATGTCCACAAAGAAAGGCAACAAAAATAAAATCAAATATTTAAACAAAATCAAATAATATGAAAAACAGCACAAATGTTATTAGAAAACATCCGTTAATGTTAATCGGAAATTAATGAAAAACACCAGGAGCAGTCTGGACACTGGATCCTTAGCGTTGGCCAGAAGAAAACACGAACTCACCACACATAAATAAAATTAAGATATTTTATAATAAAATAACTAATAAATAATATATAGCTCACAATTATAATTATAACAAAGAAAACAATACCCGGTCTCCGAAGAGAGTCTGGAAGCTTCGCCGAAAAGACCTGGCCGTTGGCGGCTCTACTCAATCATTGAAAATATAGTGACAAGAAAATAAAAAACATGTGCACTCTAGCGCGGTCAATGACAGAATCAAGATGAACAGCCAACGCCGATCTAACGGCAATTTCAAAACGATTTTTACGTCAGTCTTTTTAGAATATTCCGACAAACAATTCGATTTTAATTATATTTATTCCGTTTTGTCGCCCTATCTAGCGGTCTGCGGCAATAATAATGAGTTGTTGACACCGCCGTGTCAGAAAAAGGTTCATTCGTACAATCTCTTGTGCGATAAAAAATAAATAAATAGACATAACAAAATTTTTAAACGGTCCTCTTTCAAATTCGTGACATTACAATACCTACAACCAGATGCGATTTGTGATGATCGTAAGCTAAACATTTAAGCTCAAGCAAGCTTAAAATTTCTTTTAATTTTTCTTTTTTTTTTTGCAGTTTGGCTGATATTTATGTATACAATAAGTAGAAAAAAAACCCTTCACTTATATTAAAAACTTATACCTTTTTTTATAATTAATGCATAAGCTAAAATGTACTATATTCTTGAAAATATGAATAAATGACGATTGACTTTACATATTTTTTTTTGTATTAAATTATATTTATTAAACATAATACAATAAAAAAGTAAGTTTCATTTTGTTGATAACATTAAATTTAAACATTATTTTTAAACTTAAAAATTGTATTCTACAGTAAAAATAAAACTATTTTGATATACTAATCATAATATTTGACAAAAAATTGAATAACAAAAGGCCGTTTTTTGTTTTTTGGGATATTTTTAGTCAAAATACTAAAAACACGTTGCGCCTAAAGAAAATTTTTTTTTTAAAAATCTGAAATTTTCACAAAATGTCTATTTTAATGTATAATAAAGTTAAAATGGTTCTGATTAAAATTTCGAAGATGGAATTTTTTTGATCCACCCTAATATATATATAATGGTAAAAGTAATACCTTATTCTTCGCATCGAAACTAAACATGAAAATTTAAATTTACATACAGTTACTAATATAATACAATTAAATCATATTCTTTATTAATTATAGTTTAAATTATTAAACACACTATATATATATAAACATAAGTTGTTAAATCATTTTTTTTATGTAACATATATTAGTATATATCGTATATTAGTAGTTGATATTGACAATTTGCCCTTCTACAGATCAAAATCTATATGCCATTATTTAGTTGTCAATTGATCATCACTGATCAATTTTAATAATTCAATGATGGGAAATAAAATAAATAAAAACTAGATGAATACCCGTCCATCAAGGTCAGAACAGTGGTAGTTTACTTAATTAGACAAAGAACGCGCAGTAAGGCACTGGACTTGTAAGAAACAATACCACGAAAAATAACACCAGAGTAACGAATTGAAAGGAATTAGCTTGACGCTGTATGAACACGACGATGATTTTGATAAGTGCTGTACATCTATATGTGTTTTGCCTATTCATTTCACGTATATTGGGTACACCACTAAATCAAAATAAAACACAGTCATTGGACATTCAAGTCAAGAGTACTCCATCAATAATTAAGTCAATAAATGATAAAATTTCATCCATACAACCGGCAGATCTGTTTTATCGAACATTCTCCAACTTCACTGTACAACAAACCAATAGCTCAGCATGTAGAATTCAAACAGGTTTATATATTACTCACTTGAAAAATAATTCTTATTGGGCGTCTAAAAGTAAGTCAATATTTTAAAAATAAAAATATCTTTTGGTAAAAAGGCTTTTATAAACCCAATTTTTAATTATTATGAATTTTCTATCCAAAATAATATAAATTCCATCATTATTATTTCTTGTTACTTCAAAAAAAAATTTTAAAAATACTTAAAATTATTAACAATTATTATAAAGTAAAATAAATATTTTAAAAAGATGATAAATTTTAGATAACGTTTTTTTTTTTTGTATTATATTTCTACTTATTTTTTAAACAATTGTAATCATTAAGCTCGCATCATGTTAAAATCATAAATCCTTTTGTATTAAATTTTTGAAGTTTTCATTTGGTTTTATTCGTCCTGAAAATATTATAACAGATAAATAAAACTTTCATTAATTTAATGAATTAGTTAAAAAGCGATGAATCTATAGAATTTTATAATTCCCCAAGTTATTGTTAGCAAAATTGTCAAATCAAATATAAATATGTGGTTTAAGGCTCCATAAAAATCTGTTTAATACACTGTACTGTTCTCATTTTGAATAGGACGTTTACACTTATTATTTAGAGAAAACCCATTCACCATGTTTAAAGGATTATATAGAGAAGTTGTTTTGGAGTAATGTTTGTTTTGTTCAATCAACCGTTTGCGTTTAAAATTGTTTAAAAATTTGGACTTAAAGTAAAAATTCATCATTGATTTATTTTTCATAATACTGAAATCAACAATAATCTAAATCTATTATAAATTTTCTATATAAATTTTTCACTTCGGTATATTAGATAATACCATAGACAACAAAAACTAGATTATGTGACAAAATAGTAAAATAAAAATTTCTGTTATTCTTAACAAAAAAAATGGCTTAAAAGTATTACGAGAACAAAATTGTGTTTTTTTCTCTATCATATTGACAAGTAAAAACAGAGATTACCATTTAAGAAAATGAAAGTTTATTTCTGAAGGGATTAAAATAAAATTACATGACTGTACGGTATTGCAGACATTTTTTAATGTAATAATTTTTCTCATTACAAAAATCAAATATGTTCAATAATTTCTAAGAAAATAATTATCTTACTCGAATTGTATCATTCTGTATGTGTATTTATGTTCATTCTACGTGTATTTCCACGAGAATCAAAGTTGTATAACTAAAAAGAATCTGTTCAAATTTCCAAAATATTGAAAAGTCTTAAAGGTGCACCTAAAACTTGATGTGACTTCTACGTTCATTTAACAAGTTTTTTTAGCATAATTAAAAAAAAATATTTATTATAAGATAATTTTAAGTGTTTTATGAACATATAAATACATAAAAAATCATAAACATGTTTTTTTTTATTAGATGTGTAATATCTAATGAATTAATGCTTCTGATAATAATGAAAATAATTCCTAATAACACATGATATCACATAATACATAGATGTACCAGAACCTTACTAATAATCGGTTTTTTTAAAGGTTCTCAAAATCAGTTTTAAACTATGTTACCATAAAAGTCTATATGACTCACGCGTTATCATCCTAAAATATTAATTACGTTATTACCACGATACTATTTTGCTGTAGAAATCATAATAGCGTACGATTAATCAGATGTTTTGCAGTTTAAATACAGACTATCAGGAATAGTTATAAGTATTTAAATATTATAGAGTTATAATATCGATATTACTATTATATATAATCTGCAGAAGAATATTGACGTTGCAGGGAATATTCTTTCGTTAAATCATTACCCCTAAATCATGAATAGATATGAACATAATCACGAAAGAATATTATGAAAAGAATTTTCTCAGTAACAGAATATTCTTCAGCAAATTATTACAGGAGAATACAATATTTAAAAGCCAGTGAACGACAATAGGACAGCGGCATAGATAGGACAAGTATATATGATACTGACAATGGTGAACATCGCTGCTATACAAAAAAGCTTCACAAGGCAAATTTATTAAATATCATAATTTTTACATTTATAATTTTACAATTTCGATAATTTTGAAATTTTACTCGATTACAAAATGTTTGTCAAATTATTGGCTTAATTGAAAATAATATTTTTTTTCTTTCACAAATTATTTCTCATAGTACAATCAATACACTTGAGAAGTTAACTTAATTTTAGATGGGCAGTTATCAGGCCTCTATTTTATAACTTATCAGGTTATAAAATTTTTCAATGATAGAGTTGAAAAAAAAATTACATACTTGAGTAGTCTCATAAAAACCCTTCTTGTTTCATCTAAAAATTCAGAAAAATCATACTAAAAGAAATCTTATTGTCTCTAGTATATTTTATTCAAATTTTTATAGATTCAGTGTTTTCAAAAAAAAAAAGCAGTTTTAAAATTTATAAAAAAAAATTATTAAAATGCCATTTTTCATATCAGCACAATTATGAGATATAATTTAAAATTTCTAAATTCCAAGCTTTTTTTATTAATTTTTGGCTCTGATAGGTTTAACTAGATTAAAATCAAATTCTATTGGCGTATTCATCATTAAAATCAGTCCAGTGAGAGCTAGAATATTCATAGACATAAAAAAACACACACTATCTCAAAACTAATACTATCTCAACTTAGTATCGAAGCTATAAAAATAGAACTAAATAATTTCTTTAAGAATATTTAACCAAACAAGAAAGTGATTTAAACTAATGAATGTCTATTGAAATTTGTAATTGAAAAATAATCATCTTTTATTTGGTTGATAACATAAATTATAATTAAAAAAAACACAAAAGTAACAAGATAATGGTCTATAGTCTATAGTCTTAATGCTTTTGCATTTTTATTTTATCTTAATCCTTTTGCATTTCTATGGCTTTTTAATGTTTTTTCTTTTCTATAACTTCTTAAATTTTTTGTATTTCTATGCCATTTTAATGTATTTGTTGTTTAAAAAGTAAAAATACTAACCCTCCAAAAAAATGCATTAATGCAGATGTAATCGAAATAATCATAGTAGAAAAATGTAATATAATTACCGTAAAAACATAAAAGTGAATAATTGGTTAACTTTTATTCGGAGTAAAATATATCTCTAATTTCGTTTGACCGAATTATCTGAAGCTAAATAGATAAATTTGGATAATTTTTTACTTTTAGGCCAATTAAAATAATATAAAATATAACAATAATTAATTAAAACAATACTATCCCTTTTTAGATAGTTTTTTTATTCTAGAACATTCTAGATAATTATTTTCAAAAAGAATTACTATGGTAATTTTATATTACTAGTAAGGGGTATCTTTGTATGTCATATAGAAATAAAAAATTATTTAAGTAGTATTAATGGTAAATAGATCACTAATTTTTTTTTGAATTGCTTAAAATATATAATAAAATATTGTAAGTTTATTAATTTTTAATGCTACTTTTATGGCAAATTATTTTATAATACCTTTTTGACAAGTGGGTCTCTTCAAAGACGAACTCTTGAGTATTTAAAATAATAATGTTATAATTAGTACTTAAATTGATACCTGCCTTCAAAAAATAATAATAACTTTATTTTAACTAGAACTTTCTTAGAAACGGAACCCTTAAAAAATAAAAGTTTAAGAACCCCTAATAGATTATCAACCTCTTAAATTTATATTTTAATTATCTCTTTAAAACTGGTTCCTAAACAAATCGAAGGTTCCAACCCCCTGAAAAATATGAATTAATATTAATAAAACACACAAGTAATTTTTCAGGGGTTTTAGAACTTCAGTAAATTCGAGGCTCAAACACTATTTGTGCCTATGTATCAATCTAGTTACTAGTATATAATGGTGGTTTTAACTTTAAAGTTATTTTTTTAAGAGCATAATTCTTATAGATTTAAAGTCACTTAAAAAAAAAAACTACAAATTTTAATTTATTAAATATTAAATTCATTTCAAATATATACTAGTTTTTAAAATGTATAAACATGTCTTATTGAATCGTAAACTGTTCATAGTTGAAAATGTTAATTATGAACTAATCTGTGTATTAAACATTAACTGATTTAATTATCATCGATAAATAAGTCGAATAATCAAAGAAATAATTATCATTTTTTCCAAAAACCCGCAAAAAACTACTTATTATGCATGATGTAATTATATTACATTATGTTAATAATTCATTAATATATTTTATATTAATTATATAAATAAAAACAATTATAATAATTAAATTATTCAAAATTTTGTTAGAGTTATTTGTTGTTTAACATTTTTTAATTTATACTATTTTGACTATTATATTNTAACATTTTTTAATTTATACTATTTTGACTATTATATTTATTACAAATAATAATTTTATTTATACACGTTAATTTTTTTATTCTACTTCGACATAATGATGTCAGTTTTTCAAACAAATAAAATTAAAACTAAACCTGAAACCTGAAACTTTTACAAAAGATAGATAGCGTGTACCTTATATTTAAATTATTACAATAGATTAAATTGACAAGATTATAAACATTACCATTTTTTAATTAAAAACAAGATACTTGCAATTTCATTCAACATGAACATTTAAATATTTCTTTTTACTATGTTACAAAATTAAATATGTTGATGTCCATTTAATAAATAATATTTGTTTCATATAATAAAAGTATAAACAATCCAATTTCAATAATATCACCTCACATGTCCGTCGGACTATAGGTGTGTAAATGTTTATCTACAATTATATTTCTAATAATTACAATTGAATTATTCCTATGATAATGAATCCAACAAGGCTGTTACTCCCTTGAACTTCTAGTTTCTAGATTTTTCTATTTGATAAAAAATATGCATTTTTCTAATAAATCTGAATTTACCTATTTTAACAAATATTTATTTCATATTTAAATTAATATATTCATATAGTAATTTATCTTATAAAAAAAAAAAACTATTACTTATATACTTAATAATACGCTACACTGAATTTACAAATTAAAATTACTAAATTTAAAAATATTGTTTAATGCATAACTTAATTTAAAAATAATATTACTCATTTGGA